GCTCATAGTCAAAAGACCTCTGAGAATAGAGGGTGCCACTTTCTGAGTTAATGGAGAGGTAAGACGGGAGAGGTAGCGCCTCTATTTTGCTAGTGAGGATGGAGAAGGTGATCCTAGCATTGCGACCAAGATCGGGGTCTACAGCTTTGATGCTGAAGATGGAGGAGCTAGCAGGATTGTTCTCTGCCACGTAGACACTGTATGAAGATTTCTCAAAGGCAGGGGCATTATCGTTGATATCTGAAATCTCTAGTGAGATGGTTTTCTGTGTAGAAAGAGGGGGCGTACCGTTGTCTGTGGCTGTGATTGTAAGATTGTACCCTGGGGTGCTTTCTCTGTCTAGGGGGCCATTCGTCAGAAGCTTATAATAGTTATTAGCTGCTGATACTATTTTGAATGGGGAAGCATTCTCTAAATGGCAATTGATCTCTCCATTATCCCCTGAGTCTCTATCATTTGTATTGATGAGGGCTACCAATGTTCCTATTGGAGAGTTTTCCGGAATTTCTCTGGATGAGGAGGCGAGAATCACTTCTGGGGCATTGTCATTTACATCTAATAGCGTTATTTCAATATTACAGTGTGCTACTAATCCACCTCCATCCCTTGCTTCTACTGCTATGGTATACTTCTCTGTTTCCTCAAAATCTAGCTCTTCGTGAATTGATATAAATCCCTGTTCTGAATCCAAGTCAAATTTCCGATGAGCATAATCAGCAATATTTCTATAGAAATAGTTGATTTGGCCATTGGAACCTTCATCTTTGTCTGTGGCTTTGACTTGTATTACAGTAGATCCCTTTGATGCATTCTCTTTGAGGCTGGCCATATAGAATTCTTGACTGAAGATGGGTGGGTTGTCATTGGCATCAATGACCCTGATCCATATTTTGACTGTTCCAGTTTTTGTTGGATTACCACCATCAACAGATGTAAGTGTTAAATTAATACTGCTTTCACTTTCACGATCTAACTGTTTCTTTAGCACTAATTTTGGATATTGTTTTCTATTTTCCGCCTGTCGAAATTCAAGTATGAAATTCTCATTAATGCTTAGATGATAGTCCTGGAGGGAATTTGTTCCAATATCAGGATCTTCTGCTTGTTCAAGAAGAAATGTGGCTCCTGGTAAAGAGGATTCACTGATCTCTAACTTGATATCACCATTTAAGAAATGTGGTGCATTATCATTAATATCCTGGATCTCTACTGTTATATAAAATATGTCCATGGGGTTTGCACTCACCACTTCAAAA